AGTTCAAGGAATGAGAGGAAAAATTAGGCCCATAATCAGTAAAAAGCAGCCGAACTTATCTTAATTAATTGACTTTGTCGAAAGATTTAAACGAAAAAATACTTATTCAGATTAATTACCTATTCTTCACTAGTCGGGGTTGAGTTTTAGCCGCTTGGTCACATGGATCCGGGTTTTAGTGACTTGGTCCGGGCTCCCCCATGGTTGAACTAGTATAAGGTTGACCCATCAGAAGCCCATTTTTGCGGATGTAGCTCGTTGTTCGCCTGTGACGTCACTGCTCTCTGTGACGTCACGGGCATTAACCAATCACCGAAATGCGATCAAACCAGTCGACGTGACGTAGCAAGTAAGCTGAACTGAAAGACGGAACTTCTCGTGGGTCAACCTTATATAGTTCAACCATGGGGCTCCCCGGACCTGACGCGAAATTTTTCTAAGTAAATTTTCAATAATTTGACAGAAAAGTTTTATGTTTTCTGGACGTTTCAGAAGATTCTCTATCGATTAGTTCGATCGAAAAATGAACTTTTCTGTGAACCTCATATGTTGGTGCGACGAAATTTTTCTAAATAAATATCAAAATTTTATATGTAAAATTTAAAGTTTTCTCGACGTTTCAGATGATTTGCAGCCTTTTATTTTTTTGAACTTGGTCCGCCGGACTGGTCCGGGTCCGGGTTTTAGTCACTCGGTCCGGGTCCGGCCTCCGGTGGACCGGTCCGGGTCCGGGTTTTAGTCAGTACCCTCCGAGTATGAACATCCATAAAAACAGACTAGACGAACCTATGACTGCAGAAGCTCTCAGGCCCAACGGTCATCCTAGCGGTTGTCCTGTGGCTTTAAGTCCACCCAGCGTGGACACCCGGAGAAGAAGAAGAAGACGAACCTATGCACCATGCAGCAGCATATGTTCAGTCTTAAAATGCCTAGCAAATTACAGACCAGGCACTAAGTCCAGCTGCTATCTCAATCAATCGTCAGCTATCATGAGCTATGGAAAGATCGGATTCCAAAGGCCGGATCCCTTGTGAATCAAGTCACGAAAAGTTCAAGAATCGGCAACAGGCCATGGACCTATTTCTTCAAGCCGACACTTCTATTCTATTATGGAGGTGGAGGCCAACATTCCCCCACTGACCACTGTGACTGTCTGCAGTCCACCGCAAAGAAGTTGGGCGGAAAGAACTAATGTGCAAATACTACCTCCGCCTCAATCTGCATTCTGCAACCACCACCTCCGGCACCTCGGAGTCGGACCTCTGCCTTGTACAGTTGCCAACTTGACCCAGTTTGACAGTGTCCTGTTGTCATTGTTGTGAACTTGTGTCTGATCTGTTCTTTGCTAAATACATCCTATCCTGCCACAGACACAGAGGACATTGACTATGACACCTAACTGGCTTTGTGACCGCCTTTGTCCCTCCCTCACAGTCGCACTAAGGCTATCTTTTCTTCACTACAAATCCTAGTTTCCCATCTGCTTAGGTACCTCTCCTCTTAGTCAGAGCTCATTTAGCGCCTAGCGGCAGGCNCACTGGTGTGAGCAACATTGATGACCATCTGTACTTTTCACGTTGAATGATCTATCAGCACACACTCATTTGCAAAATAACAGTTGCTCACCACTGAACATCCTCTTCGTTTGGAATTTATGCAAGGAGAGTTTAGGCTACTTTGAAAAATTTGCATAATCCATTCGTTGGACAATTTTGAAAATTATTTGTTATTACTCATTACTCATCAGTACCGAATCGAATCGATTTTGTATAACCTCTATGCCTGGTTAGAATTATTGTGTTAAATTTGAGAAATACTGCCGCTGAAATTCAAGATAAAGGTTCATTGAATTAGATAGATACCAGTTTCCTGAAGTACTGCTCTTCGTTGGCTGCTTCTTTCTTGCCAAAGGCACCACCAGCATCTCGGATGGCACCACCCGAGCCACCCCCCTTGCCTGCTCCTGAACCAGCCTCACCCCCACCCATGCTTCGGCTGCCAAGCCTGAGAGTATATATATGCATTTAGTATTTGTGATAACAGTTCAGTATAGGAAATAGATGAATGTGAAATAATTCAAAGAATAAAAAATAAACACAGCCCTAAAAATTAAAAAATGAATGTAACAAAAATTTTTGCTAATAAATCAAGAACACACCAGCATTCTTACGCTATCTATGGGCCCCATCTATACCAATACTTCATAGTATCCTCCTAAACTAATATGCTAGTGAGAGTAAAGCAGTTCAAATAGCTAACTTTACTGGACGAGTAGAAGAATAAATTAACCACAGCCAACTCAATTAAACCCAACCAAATTCAACCCTAATCAAATCATTCCAGCCCAATTCAAGCCACCCTAATTCAGTAAAATTGAATAGAATTAAATTTCAGTAAATTAAATAGATTAATGTGTTAGAATGCATTGTGATCTTATTTGATTGCACTTGACTTCATTGCAGTGCATTAGAATGCACTAGAATGCATTAAATTAAATTAGGGTATGTTAGATTACATTAGATTGCATTACGTTACTTAAGATTGCATTAGAATGCTTTAGATTGCAGTAGAAAGTGTCAGTTTGAATTTGAATGCATTAGATTGTATTAGGTTATATTAGATTGAATTAGAATGCATTAGATTGCATTAGAATGCATTAGATTGCATTAGGTCTGTCTCTTATACACATCTAGATGTGTATAAGAGACAGGAAATAGAATCATGGCTCGTAGAAATGGAATCACGGCTGGCAAATCCATAAAACCACGGCTTGAAAAATTCAGTCGCGGCTCGCCAAGTAGATATATTCCATACTAGATTCCTCTGAGACCATTGAACTTGAACACTTACTGCCCCCTGCACGTCAGCACGTGCAGCAGAATGACCAGAGTGCTTATGCAAATTGCAAACTTAAATAACAAACTAACCTGTGTTGATGTTCCTGTGACTAAAAAATATGCTTCAAGCTCAAGGTGGCCCTTATTCCTGCCTAACCCAGAATTTGGTACCTAGCTGATGCTGTAGCCTGTAGCGTAGGGTAGGTGCTGGCTGCTGCATATTTGCTCGAATGCTAGCCATAGATATTTTGTATATCTTTTGAATAGTGAATTTAATCTCAATCTATTATCTACTGATCCCACAAATAGAAATAACCGCTAGGGTAAACGCGGTATATTCCGACATATTAAGGACGCATCGAGAAATGAAAAACTATAAAAATAATGTATGCATTACTCGAGTTCGGTTTGCTTTACGTGACTCTCAAAACACCACATGACGCACCACGCACCAGCAATGATGAAACATCACAAAATGTTGCCATATTTATTTAAAAGCCTTTAGAATGCAAACCTACCAAGTACCAAATCCCTATATTCCGACACTTCAAATTGTACTAATACGTAATTCGGACATCCACGTGTTCGAATTCCGATCGCTGTGTGAGCTGTATTGGAATACGACATGGCTTTGAATTAGGACACTATTGAATATTGAGCACTACTTAATTAGGCTTTTAATTAACAGTTATTAAGCTTTTAATTAAGAAAATTTTAATTTTGGCACACAGCTTGGAACGAGCTGTGTGTGTTCAATTCAAGTTGTGTCGGAATTAGTTTTTAGGTTTCTAAATCCATTTCTCAACTTAATCATCTATTAATTTATTTACCACTTGAAATCAGCAAATACAAGTATACTTAAAGGATTCCTAATATATTCACAGTTGTATTTAAAAGTCTCAAACCATAATATTCTTTCTACACAAACAGTTTATCACTTTTTTATAGAGCAAGGTCAACTGTCAACTTTGACACATTTTTCGATGATCTCATTGGGTAGCATGCACCGTCTCTCTTTGCATCTCAATATTTTCCCGCTAAATGGCCCAGACCTAGTGTTTTGGCAGTAGTTTGACGCGCAAATGTATGACGTCACTATTTCAACCATCAATGAACGCATGGAACTAAAACAAAGCTTAATACAAAGGAAAAATTAGAGAGGTGTCGGAATTACCCACGATGTCAGAATATACCGCGTTTACCCTACTAAAACCTGTGGCATACTAACACTCAGCATTACAGCATATTCACTTTTTTATCAGCATTATTATAAATGTGCACTTGTAGTCTGTAGATAAGCAGTACCCTGTACCAGTCTATGCAGCTTGTTAGGGCCAGCATATTAATTATTAGTACCAGACGGCAGACAACCAGTACTATATCATTAGGACTTAGGATCCTTATGTGTTCTCAATTACATGTATAAAGACTGCCTTTGTAAAGAATATTACTGCTTGCCTGCAAATAAGTTTCTAATCTTGCTCCTTCAGAGTAAAGCCCGCTGGAGTTCTGTTTTATTTTCAGTACCGTACACTGCACAGCAGCTCTTAGTCATCACTTACTTTACCAACTTGCTCTTAAGAAGCTCCAGGCTGTGCTGCCCAGGCTGGACCTTCAGTAAATTGTACAAACTCATATGAGGCGCAGTTTAGGGCATGGCTACTGCAACTAACTGGCCTGGGAATTGAATGAGACACTGTCAATGTGGAGACTGACCTACAATGCAAATCCTCAATTTTGTACCCTCTATGCCTATTCTCTACTTAGATCCTCAAAGTCACTACACTATTGTGAGGCAGCATTGGACAAGTTTTCAGAGGCCCCCAATTAACATTGACAGGAAAAAATGCATATTTGTCCATACTAGGTTGTTGGCTGGCTATGTTCCCGCTGCTGACTATACTGCAGCAGCTGTTTCCAAATGTCAATACCACAATAACTTCATTAGATGTCTCCAATTCACATTAACATCTGTTTGAACGATTACCATTGCAAATGTAAGCTCAATTAATAGGATTTAAATAGGAGAATGTCGGTCCTGGCATTGATGAAAAGTGGATTTTTGTACCGTGCGTCAGTAAAAATTGTTCAAAAAATGCCTAGCAGTGATATGAGTAAATTTAGGAGTGTTTTTAAGAACTCAAAGAAGATAGTTGTTCTTACTGGTGAGTGGCAAAGGACTGACTGACTGAGTGGTGAGTTACTACAGTTTTTAGCCAAATAATGGCCTAAGTCTAAGAGCTCTATTGCAATTGCTACAGACCTCTAGCTCCTTTATCCATAATATTTACAAATTTAAAAACTGCAATTTTTCCATATTGTGATAATGAGATTGTGATGTAAGTTGTAAACTTGTAACCATCAATCAGGGTGATGGGTCTGGGTCTCAGACCCAGTGACTGAGAGAGATATTTATAGCCATCTCATCTAATGAAAATATGATTATGACTTCAAAATATACAAATTTGTTCTGAACTTTATGAACAAAGTTGCATTTCCAGTTAGTGACTAGTGAGTTACTTGTGAAGTTGTTTATTATGGTAGTCTGGTAGAATTTGGAAGATCATGTGTTGATCATTGCATCAGACAGTTGAATTACTATTAATAGAAAAATTTTTGCCATGCAAAGTTGCACTTTGCAGGCAATTTTGATTTTAGAGTTTTGCAAGAGTTTTATGAATGGCCATTCAGTTATTCAAGACTCAATTTTCAATCAATATCGAAGTGCATTCTTTGCCCCCATAAATGTCTGCTGAGTTAAAAAGACTCGAAGATAAATTATTTTTTAGGATTTTGATTGAATATTTTGAATGTGCATTCAACTGTGTTATGTGACTAGCACCTAAGCTACACCTTTAGAATATTTTATGAAAATGCACTTTGTCTAGTCACCATGTTATATCCATGTTGTGATGTATAAAACTGTCTGGCTGGAGCCTGCAATTAAGCTAATCTAAAATATTTGGTAGATTGTTCTAAAATCAAAGTGCCAGGTGATAATGATCATTTCACTCGGAGGTTTCCCCGCAATTGCAAGTAAAAACAGGCCATTTACCATGTCACTACAGAAATAAGGCAAGTCAGGCAGCTTGGCTAATTCACATATTGCATCTATCTCACTTTTTTGTTTAGCTACATAATACATGTTAGATTGAATTTTTGCCATACAATTATTTCAAAGTAATGATATTAATAGAATGCTCAATTTAAGTTTAATCAGAAATTTATGTGACTATCTTCACAAAAGAGGCCTCACAGCCAATTGCCTTCACTGACATGTCCAGAAACTTTTATGCATTTATGAATTTAGAGGATGAAAAAGTATTTTGCAAAAAATGTGGGTTTAGTTAATTGTTAGGGTAGGTAGGCCTCTTAATGGGACAGAGATGCAGAAGATATTATATTTTTAACAATTGAACTGAGGGTGAAAGAAATAGAGATTGAAAGAAGAAAAGGCTTTATTTCCTAGTTATAGTAGGTACCATATTGAAGGAAATTTCATCTTTAGGTACTGTTTGAATGTTTCATGCTATAGATCAATTATGCAATTAACCCTGATTAGCAATTCCAGGAATATACTTATGAGAGTAGAAACCATAAGGTTACATTGCTACTTGTTTCTAGTAATAATTGGTAGCTGTTAATTTTCAGGGGCGGGAGTGTCAGCTGAGTCTGGAGTGCCAACATTTCGTGGCTCAGGAGGTTTGTGGCGCACCTTCAAATCTCAAGACTTGGCCACTCCTGAAGCATTCTACCGAGATCCGTCCCTTGTGTGGGAATTTTACCATTACAGAAGAGAAGTCATGGCTACCAAGAAGCCTAATGCAGTTAGTATCTGAACAATATTTGTGTGTAGGCCTGATCAAATCTAAATCTTACTTATGGTTTTCCAAGCATCTTGTTAAGACTTGTTTAGGAACTGGCTAGTGAATTCTTGCATTCAGTATTTTCATCATTATGTTGTTTTTCTGTTGAAGATTTTGTATAAAAAAATAATCTTTGCAATGAGGTTCACTATCAGTCAACTTGCATGAATCTGAGATGAGCATTATTACCGTATAGTCCATTTTTACTTTGGAATGTATTTTAATTATATATAGGTATAACGTACCGGTACTTTAATTTTTATTAATTAGTCCATCTTGTAGAAAAGAATACTCAGCTACATCAATGCTGTGAGAACATAGTTCAGGCAACTTAGAAATGGCAACTTTACTGAAACATAAATTCACTTGGGGACAATGATATCTTTTGTCATTGACAAAAGATATCATTGTAACAATAATTAATGTCATTGTTCAGGCACATGTTGCCATTGCTGGGGCACAGGACTTCCTGCGAAGTAAAGGATTTGAGTTGAATGTCATCACCCAAAATATTGACGAGCTTCATCATGCTGCTGGCACCAAGGACGTGATTGAGCTGCATGGCTCTCTCTTCAAAACCTCCTGTCTTAAGTGCCATAAAATCAAGCAGAACAGACAAAGCCCTATATGTGAAGCCCTCAGAGGCAGAGGGTTAGTCTGATAGTTGATCGGTGAGAAGAATTATATGTGGTGAAGAATCTGATGCTCCAGCTCTTCTCTTGGCTTAGATTGGTACCAGTTTTTTTCGTATAAGTTAGGTTAGGATTTTTTGTTGCTGGTTTTGTTGTATATTTTGTGTGGTATCTCCTTGAATTTTTTTGTAGTGTTGGAATATACATTGCTTTTGACTTACACTACAATTATATTGATTACGTACGTCAAAAACACCACATTCAAATAAGTTTCTAATCCCTTTGAAAGTCTCTCAAAAAATTTAGATCATCTGCCATTTGAGTAATATTTGTATTTCATTGACGCGTCTCACTACGGCACATATAAATTAGGTATTTTATTGACTTTGATCCATCTGATATATGTACCTATGTCATGTAACAAATTCAAACTCATTAATGAATTTCTCGGGAGAAAAAATCCATTCGCTACATAGATTACCGTACACGTAAAATTTTCTCTGAATGATCGTAATCTTTATGTACCTCATAATAGTACCTCAAAAATGTACTTTGATAGACCTAATTTGCACAATCTCATAGCTTTTATTTCTAAATTGACAGTTCAATCCTAGGGGTGCTATTAACCTTTATAACACAATTTTCAAGCTTGAAAAATCACAATACTTGATTTGGTAGTATAAAATAGATAAAAATATAGATGGGTAGATAAAAAATAGATAAATACTTACCTACTCTTCCGTGCACCTACTACTCTACTAACCTACTCTATTGAGCTTAATAGTTGCTAAGTGCTGAGCAAAATTTTTTGAATGAGGTCTGTTGATTGGAATTATTGATTGGAACTGTTTGAAAACTCGAGTTCATATTTTTGATTGGAACTGTTGAAAACTTGAGTTCATATTCATTTAACATGGAATTCCTGTAATGATTCCATATAATTTCATTACTGATGAGATTTTCCCCCAGAGCCCCCGACCCGAACGTGCGGTCTGCTAACATCCCCGTTGAGTCCTTGCCTCGGTGCCAGGACTGTGGGGGCCTCCTGCGCCCCAGCGTCGTGTGGTTTGGGGAGTCGCTTGATGAAGACATCTTACTTAGGGCCAGTGAGTCTCGGGCACTCGGCTGTGAAAGTCGACGTGCGTGGATATATATCAGTAAATGTTTTCGGGGGTGTAGCATGACAAAGACATCTTGCTTAGGGCCAGTGAGTCTCGGGCACTCGGCTGTGAAAGTCGACGTGCGTGGATATATATCAGTAAATGTTTTTGGGGGTGAAGCATGACAAAGACTTCCTACTTAGGGCCAGTGAGTCTCGGGAACTCGGCTGTGACAGTGGACGTGCGTGGATATGTATCAGTAAATGTTATCATGGTGGAACATGACAAAGACATCTCACTTAGTGCCAGTGAGTCGTGTGAACTTTGTCATGAACGTGGGCATTACTGAACAAATACCATGAATAAATGTTATTGGGAGTCGCATGACGAATACATCTTGCTTAGTGCCAGTAAGCTCCGGGAACTCAGCCATGAAAATCGGCATTACTGAACTAATATGAGTAAATGTTACGCGGATCCTGCTTCGAAAAATTGTGAAATGAGAGGAAATATTATGCATAGCCCGAGTTAAGTGGAAGAGCTTTATTCTGTTTCTCCACCAATAGCAAATATTTACCATGAATCCAAATCATCTATAAATGTTCACCAAGCAAGTTTAAGAACGTTATGCCATAGTCGAGTCAAGGAGTTTTATAATATTTTACCCCAAATTGCTAATAATTTTCAGGCATCGGAGTCACCCATCAATATTCACCAAAAGTTATGCCTAAGTTTCATGTTTTTTTCCCTCCTGTATGGCATATATAACCCGACATTTTTGTCAACTACCACCATTCCCCAGACGAGCTGATCAACGAATGCGACCTGTGCCTGGTGGTTGGAACATCTTCGGTGGTCTACCCCGCGGCGATGTTCGCGCCCTCAGTGGCCGCGAGGGGCGTTCCTGTCGCCGAGTTCAACATGGAAGTCACGCCAACCACTGAAAGATTTGGGTCCGTGCTACCTTGGTTATTATGTTCTGTTGGCGTCGTTACAATGTCCTGTTAGCGTCGTTACAGCTGTCTCTTATACACATCTAGATGTGTATAAGAGACAGGTCTCGGGCACTCGGCTGTGAAAGTCGACGTGCGTGGATATATATCA